AAAACTCATGCACAAAAAACTCCTCAAAGACCAAACGTGTTCTGTGTGCTCTCTTGAAATATTAGGGTTAAGAAAGATAAGTAAGTAAAGTAGCCAAACAAAGTTAGGATCAGTCAGGCAAGGTCATTTTTTAACTCTGATATTTGATTCCACCAAGCTCCTAGACAATCACATACAGTTATAGTTGTTTTCGAATAGTATAGTGGAGTATGGAGTTTGATAGTGGGATTCCTTTCCGTTGAAAGTAGTTTTAGGGCTCTTAGGCTGCTTAGTCTAAGCTGATTAAAAGAAATTCTCACATGCAAAGTTTATGTTTGCTTTTCTTTTTCTTTAAATTTCAAATGAACTTTTTTGATTAAAGAGGAACTGGTGGATCACTTATTAGAGCACTGTTATTTTTTTTTCTACTAACGACTTGTTTTATATGACTATGGGCTTCGTTTGAGATGGATACTTAAATTAATATGCCGTAGAAAAGTCTTAGTAGGAAACTGTATTCAGTGATAACTTGTTTGAAATAAAAACGAAATGCCGACAATAAAAAACAGTAGACAAAAACGTAGCATTATGTAAATGCTCCATGAAAATTCAGAATATCCTGGATTTTCAGGACGTCCAGGATTCAGGAAATTTCTCCAATTGCTGCAAAAAATTGGAATTGACAAGTAAATGTCAAATATTGCACTTATCTTGCCTAGTGATATTAAAAATGTGAGACATACAACAATAACCCTCAATCACTTGTAAACATGGGTGGAGGAATTGTAATTAGTAAGAACTTTTTCAATATGCTATTCTGTAGCCTTTGGAACGAATCATCTGTTACGTAGAATATTTCGATAGTTTAATAAACTTGTATGTTGCTACTTTGGTAAGTTTGATTTCTCAGAATATAGCGAGAACTAATCCACTAATCCACTAGGTTCAGAGGAGGTTTACATTGCGACAGTGTTTCTTCTACTGTGGCCGAAATTTCCATCACTGGTTTACTTCTCAGCAGTCCTGTGCTTCTGGATGGAAATGTCAGGTTTCCTTATGACATGAGTGATCGTCGTTATCAATGACCTAAGCACTCTAAAGTACGGTTTTCTTCCGTAACCAACTAGTTGAATTTCACCGGGAAGAAAGGGATGAAGAATAGCAGGAAACAATGAAAAAAGGGCAGAAAAAAAGAGGTAGAAGAAAAAGTTGGAAGGGCTGAGAGAGCAAGAAGTATAATAAAATCCCATTGTCAAAAAAAGGTGCTTTTTCAATCTTAAACCAGCACTATTCATCGCATATTTGTTTTTTAATTCTATTTTACGCGACCCAGTACCACGTATTCAACAGATCCCAGCACTACGCTTATTCGATTCTCGTTTTCTCGTTTCCATCAGAACCTAAAGTCTGCGCGTTTGTGAGCGGGTTCGGTTTGTCGTTGAGGATTTTTGACCTTCTTCATGAATTCAGTTAAAAGCTCTTGGAGTCTGCCCATCCTTAAATCCTAGAGTAGCCGTGGTGGAGCGCTACTGTATTTTCACCACGTTTACTCGCCCATTAGTCCTTGTGCCTCGGGGAAAACTGTTCTCAGACAAATTTATTACCAATTTCCTAACCCGAAGAGATAAGAGGCGCGGTCAATCTAAGACCAAGATTAGGTTCTGATTTTCTGAAGCTCACAAAACATAATGTGAACGGTTCGTTTCTGTTTGACGCGATTTCTACTTCGAACGCCAAGTCATTTAAGAGGCGGTATTTCATTCAGCTGAGCATTATGGCGTTCCCAGGTTTGCGGCTGTCACTCTTCCTTAGAGAATCCTGAGAACTTGAATTTCAGTTTTAGTTTTTCTTAAAATTGCTAAAGATAAACACTAAAATTTAAAGCACAGTATACAAAAATGCATATGCCTTCAAGACAAAGGAGCATGGTCCATCTATGAGTCCCTACAGTTTCACTCTCTTTAACTACTAATGAAGAACTTCTCATCTTTTCTCGAAAAACTTGCCTCGTCGTCAATGTGTTCAAGTTTTTAGCACAGCTAGAATGACACTAACGGTACTTATTTTATTAATTATTCACTTAATTGTTGAAATGAATTTGTACTACTAAATTGCTTTTATGCTCTACAGTGCTTTCAATTTTTTTAGGAAATTCAGTTTTGAACATATCTAAAACTGAAAGAGTACTGCATAGAAATTGTACATGCTTTTAAGGTCATCGATTACCTTTTGTAAGAATGTGTGAGCTTTTGCTACTGGTTTTTCAAAATCTTCTGCCAGTTTTGAAAAAACCGTGATAACACCACTCAACATCACCAACAATGAGGAAAACATCTGATCTCGTACTTGAAAAAGACTTATTACCTTCCTCAAAAATAAAAGAACGATTGTAGCATTGGTCTTCATCAAATTCTACCACTCATTCCCACGTTGTTATACTCAAAAGGTACAAGTACGGAAAAAAGTCCTGCTAGTGCTATGCGACGTCGTCGACATACACAAAACTGCAACGTTAACGAATTTATGCACTTTATGACCTTACAGTACGTAAACCTTTTATCTACATAACTACCGAAAAAGTGTAAACGTAGGTAAATACAATAATGCTCATTTATCAATATTTCACTTTGTGAAATATGGGTAGGGGCTAAATTAAACCTTGAGCATGGCTGTAAAACTTTACCTACTTCATTGGTAAGTAAGCAATTAATGTTTTAAAATTAGATGAAAACTATGTCAAGCAAGCTATCGTCACAAACTTGTTATTATATTTAAGTGTATTACTACAACTATCAAAAAAAGTACCAGCGATGTTACAGTTTGTGACAGCTTGTGATTAATTATGAGCACATAAAAAATGTGAAGGTAAAAATCAACCACAAATGTTAATTTTCTATCTAATTCAGCATTACTGACTTCAATCAGCTTTAGTTGACATTTATGCATTTTTTTATATGTCCCGTCTTCAAGTCTACTGTGCTGATCTCAGGACTTATTACATCCAAGTCGTTTCCTCGCATACATCGTCTGCGAAAGTCTTCCAACTTTTATGTGTGGCATCGGTTACTGCTTGATGATTTTCATTCCATCTTGAACGTCGTAGAATGCTAGTCGAGCAATTCTCCCTGGAGTCCTGATGTAGCCAGAATGGAGAGTTCCCAATTAGACTGCAGAGAGTGATTTTTTTTCACAGACAAGTCCGGCATTAATATTCCGATCCCGGTGGGACTAGTGGCGTGTTTACTCCTGAGCAGAATCGAACTAGCACCATGTCCGTGATGATGAACATCACTACCACTGCTATCCGTCCCATTGACATATATACACTTCAAAAATTCATATTCGCTAGAAATTATTAGTAGTTGTATTGACACATACAACTACTTGAATAGAATTCTGCACGACATTCGGCTATTATCCTTAAACAGCTTTAAAACATATTCTTCGCGTTTTGCGACAACTAATGATAAATTAGGGCTTTTGTAACGCAGTAGTTAGAAGTGCTCAACAAATGCAGCTCTTGGTTCAATCATGCATCCCGGGAAAACCAATCCTATTTTTTTAGAGGTCGGTAACGTAGTAGGTTCCTGGTGTGGGAGCACAGAAAAACTGATTTGACACATTAGAAGACTGTCGCAAGTTATTTCTTGGGGTTAAATAAGTATTTTATCATCTTTACGACGCAACCAATGGAAGCGAATGCATTACGGATCGTTTAGGTGACGGCATTGGTGGTAAGCTTTCCATCGCTCCCACTTTATGGTAAATCTGATAGGCTTTATTTCCTTTTTCTTCATTTTTCATCGTTCTTGCAACCGTTATCACCTTTTCTTCTCGAGATCTATAGAACATATTCACTTCCATTACCTCTTTCTCCAATGTTGAATTTTTTCACACATTTTTCTTTCCATTTTCATTAACTTCAACTTCAATATTTCAGTTCGATAAGTTCGTTTACCTTGTGATTTGTGAATTCGATTTTCACAGATTTGTCGCTTGTTGTTGTGAATGTAATTTTTTGAAAGTCGTAGTTGCATGCCGTCCAGGTGAAAACACTTCTTAGGCGTAATAAACGACTATTTTGCTATTTTTATAAATTTTGATTTCAGCAAAAATGCCTTCTATATTTATGTCAGCAATGATCACATTCGTCTTAACGTTGCATAGCATGAGCCGTGCTTTTAGAATGGTTAGTTTCTTTCCTTGTTGTAAATTCCTTCTATACAGATTCTTTGAAAAAAATAATAATAAGGACACAAATATAAAAAAAATCTGAAAATGTAAGTAAATTTGAAGATTAATTTAAAGGTTGTTTTCTAGTAAACTGCACTGTATAATGAAGAATGCAGCTAAGCATCAGTTTTATTTCTCGTCCACTCGGATTTCTTCCAACAATGTTTGTTGAAAATTGTCATTAAAGCCCGTAACCTCCGCTTACTTCTATACTTTTTCAACTTTTAAAAGAGTCATAACAGGAAAAGGAACAATCAAAAAGGATAAAGGACAAAGCCCTCGGTGATGATCAATCTCTAAGGGATGCGCCATGCATTCGACTTCAGTAAGCAACTTTTGGAGGTGATTAAATGAATATCTGGGCTTCACAATGACTCGAGGTAGCCTTTTGATCTATCGAGCCACTGCTGCTATGCTGCCAGACAAGCCTGGCACCAATTTGCCAACCCCGGAAGAATGGTCGGCGTTGAGCTCGAAGATCGATTTCACGTGAGTGTTGCAGGGCGCCTCCAACCACTGCGCCACGCGCACCCATCAAAAACAATCAACCAAAAGAGAAAAAGAAATGTTAGCTATTTGAAACGTTAGGTAAGATAAAAACTGCAAAAATTTTTTTGCAAACCGCACGTTTAATTGATTACTGAATTGGGCACAAATGACAAGTATTTCACAATTTTACTACAAATCTCGCATAATCTTTAGTTATTTCATACGGTAGTAACTACCTCTGAAATTCCTAAAACATTTCCTGTCTGACTAATTTTTGCAGATTTCGTTTACATTTTCAGATGGACTATCGACGTCCAGTTTGTACACCACAGCAATCATGCTCCTATGAAGCTTTCGGAATTCTATTTGCCTTGTGCGACTGCCCAGAAGAGAATTCTATGTGTCCACATGATGAAAAAAATGCTGTTGAACATAGAGGAACGTTTTATAATGCAAGTTTCAGTGATTTTCTAGGTCTTAAGTGACTTTCGACAAAGGAATTTTTGTACACAATACTGTCCATTGACTTATGTGGCCATTTCTTTATTTTAAATGCCTCAGAAATTTATAATAGCACATAATCAAGATGTCCTCTATGTGTTTCATGTGAAGGGTGTCGTAATGACTCCAGCGAATACTTCTTCCTGCAGTTCTAAAGCCGTTGCTAAAACTTATCCTAGGCGGCAGTCACCATTTTCCATATGTTGCTATCACAATGGCAGTGATTACTAGCATAGGTTCACTCTTATATGGGTTACTTCGCGGAAATTTGGAACTTCTTCTTAACCCAGGATAACATTGCTAAATGAACGATCATCGTCCAAGTGGACGGACACCAATCACTGGTGGAATAATTACGTAGCAGCTTAAAAATATCCTGTCCGACGTAGAAATTAAGTACGTAAGACAAGTATGTTGAACGGTTTACTAATTTTCTCAGATCATTGCAGTTCTGCTCACCACGAATTGTGCCGATTTGTGAAAATGAGGAAATTTCAACAACTGTCGCTGGAATACAAACGGCTATTCATTGTATCTGCCCGGAAGATAGTGAATTAGTTCAGCAACCCAGCAAAATCAAAGACGTTACCGACTATATTTGTCGTCAGGTAATATGTTTGCGATTTGATATTTGCTAATGATGTTTCTATTCATATTAATATCGGATATTCAAAAATGATGTAGTAGTCGTAGGCGATTCGATAACTCTCGGCGGTATTTTTTCTACTGCAGCTCTATCCTGAAATCGATGAAATCGTTCAATTACGAAGAACAGCTATACAACAGATCTCAACAGGTGCTTATGTATGTGTGTGGGTGTGGGTGTATGCACGTTCATAACTAGTGATCCACAGTACTCTATTTGTCCTACTGCAAAATTCTTTGCAAGAAGGTTTAAATTGATTGTTTAGGTTTTCCCTCTAATCCAACACGAAACGCTTACTTCTCAAAGGCACCTAGCACTAACAACCCGCACGCTTCATAAAATAATCGTATTTGAAGTACGTTTCATGTAACACGACGATTCGACCATAATTCAGATCGTTATAAATCTAATTAAGTAACCAACCTATTATCCTTAAAAATGTGGCGTCGTTGTGAGACACTGCAAAACGTGAGTGATTTGATCACATCGAATCGCCTACTGTTCTTAATGTTACCCATTTTCAATTTAATAAGAACGATTTGGAAAGATTTATCTTTGCATCAATACCACAACTGCTCAATATTGGTTTGAAAATTTGGCGATGGCGTTTAAAATTTTAACCAAAATCACATTAGCCAACATCATTTTCAGAAACGACACTGCATAATCGACGAGGTGTGTGGTTTAAAAAGCTCTGTAGGCGAGAAGAGGTACGCTTAGTAATCTCAACAGCTTAGTTATTCATATGTAAAAAAGTTTTCTATTCGAGAAATCTGCAAGAGAAGTGTGGTGAATTAAAGGCAGTAATTAGGTGATGCGTAAAGGCTAGTTCACCTAGGATTCATATCAGAATTAGGGTGATTAGAGACCGATTGAAAGTTAGTTAGATGCATTCTTTTAGTTAGTGCGGTTATAAGGAGAAAAATGAAACACGATAATTTCTGAACGACGTCAGGTCTCACTTCATTCAGCGAACACCGTTTTTCCACTTGCTAAGCAAGTACCACAAGTTTCATTGCGTAAGTAAAACGAGAGGTGTTACATGTAGATAGGAACTTCTGAACATTCGTTTCACATACCATACCGAAACTTAGAAAGCAAATGTCAATAAATTGTGTTAGGAAACATCGGCTTGAGACAATCGTTAGAGAGAATAACCCATATTGAAAAAATTAGTTTTCCTTCCTAACTTTTCTGAGGGAAAGTTTTTAATCAAAACCGCTGGACACAATTTCGCTCAACGTCCGTTTTAGCACAATTGTATAAATCTTATTACATAGAACAATCAAATTGGATTCAATTAGTGTTCAACTCACTTATTTTTATGAATACATAGTTCCATTTTCCACAGACCACACAAAAATGGTCAGGTTAAGTAGCAGAGCAGAAGTGTATGACGGGAAATGCAGGGGTCTTCTATGAATCATCATTTCGTTTAAAAAAGTGTGAAAAAGTTCCATGGCAATGAGAACGATAACATTAAGGGGTAGATCGGTTTAAGGCTATTTTTTTCTGCTAAATTTTTACCACCATAAAATTTTGCAGCTGTTAAGAACAATGCTAGGGTTTACTCGAGTAATTTATTGCTCTCTTTCATCTGTTACGGTAATGGATTTATGTATAACGTTGCTCAGCGCATTGAATGCGTATTAATTGAATCGTCAAGCAAATCAATACTGTCCACCTTACTTACCCACCATGGCCCGAAAACTTGCAAGAACAGTTTCGAAGAAGTGGTCTTTTAATGATGTTAAAAACACAGTAAATCACGTTCAAGATGTTACAAATGTAGTAATATATATTGAATGAACCCAGGTTATGCGAATGTCCCTCAGCTACATCATGTGCGTATCCGAAAAACACCGTCGCCGCACTCTCAAGTCAGGTCGGCAGATGCTTAGCCTTGTAAGTGAATCCACTGGTCGTCATCATCATCATCATCATCATCATCATCATCATCATCATCATCATCAGCGACGAGTTAAAGCGTTTCCGAATTCCTGATCTCTGTATCTCTCGTGTACATAGATGAATCTAATTTGGAAATTTCGTTGTTTTATTTTGAGATTTTGAAGAATTTAGACGGTTTGTGTTGGGTGTTGTTAGGTGCTGTCACGCTGCTACTCGAGCGCAAGCGCACAATTCTCGTTTTTCACTCATAAATTCACATAAAAATGTTTCTTTGATCTTCCTAGATATGCATAGTGAAAAAAAATTGACGCGTACAATGATCAATTCACTAATCCGATAAATAAACAGGTCGTTAATACAGCGCTTCTCTTGAATTCCATTCTTTCCGTATAACATTGCAAATTCTCGAGTCACTCAATTGCAGCAACCTATCAAAACGGTCGACGGCCTCACTTTGGCGAAAACTCACTCAAGCCGAGAAATAACTAGACGTAACCAAATACAAGGAATCTGCAGCAAATTAACGCCACTCTAGAAATACCTTCATCGTCTTAGTCGCAAAGTGGCAAAGGCATAATTTCTGATCTTCAAGATTTAGTGATTGCATATGGTGACGACGTGGGATAACTCTGCAAACGACGGCTCGAGAATTGAAGGTAGAAAGTGCTCCAACCAACGAAATACTGTAGGTTAAATGGCAATGTATAAGGTTCAAAATGATCGAACCGAAAAAGGTATCGAAGAAATAGGGGCTGTAATAAGTGTTAATTTTAGTGTTGCTAATATGCAACAGTTTTCATTAATATAAGAAACGAACAAAATGTTCTTCGCATTCTTGCTGAGCAAACGGGAGGTGTTACTTTTATTCTTTATTCACGAATAAGCTGACGTTCCGACGGATTTCGCCTTCCTCAGAGCTTGGAAAGGTCAAGTTGACAGCAATCTATTCGGCCCAACACCTTCCTAACCAAACAGGGAAAACGCTGAACCAAGATTTCAATCACATTGCACACAGCTTTGCACACTCACCGCTTTCTATGAGGCTTCCACTGAGTGTGTCGCGTGGATACCAACCGCACAGAATTCACATGGAAGCGCATCCCCCCCCCCCTTTATTATCGGATTTCTGCAATTAATCCAGAACTCTTCGGGAGTTTTGCGCGTTTGTGTTCTCGATTCTTCTGCGAGGATCGTGACACGTACTTCAAAGTCTTACCCGTCATGTCTCTGGGTTCTATGCGTGCATAGGAGGGTATTTGGTAGACGTTTACCGACTAAGTGTTCTTTTATGCGGACACAGAGGGCTCTGCCTGTGTGGCCAATGTATTCGTCCCCTCACGCCTTACAGGAGATCAGATAAACTATAACCGAGCTCATGCAATCACCGTTTCTACCATTGGGGCAAATTATGCAATTTTGAGTTGCACATAGACGGTCACACAGGCGGTTACGAACTAGCTGGCACCTTAGATTACTAGGTGGTATTTTGATTATCGTTACCGAATTCTCTAGACCCGCCCTTCTTAAACAGCGTTTTATAGCTGCACTTACTTCATTTGAGATGAAGGGTAGGATAAACGGGACCTTTTCATCGCTAGAGTTGTCGTTAAGGGACCAAGGATTTTTCCTACACCTATCTCAGCTACAGTTTTGTAGCCATTAGAAATGTTTATTTGTCGTGCCAAGTTCCGGGACTCCTCTCTCTGCTCTCTTCCTGTGCAGACGTTTGTTGCTGTTTAAAACATGTTTCTTACAAGCGCCCTTTCCGTGTGAGAGGGGTGGAAGGAGAGGTAATGAACCAAAATGTTTTTACGACTTGGCTTTCGGTAATACTTTGTAATGTAGCCATTTACTGACAGGTTAATTTAGACGTTCAGGAATGAAAGCCAGTTTTCTTTCGGTTTCTCTCGGGTGAACTCTGTCTGTTCGTTCAACGATTCGAAATAATTGTCCATTTCCTCTTGTGTTGAGCGAAGGACAAAACAGTCATCTATATATCTGCAGTAGAGTAGCAGCCCGACATCGGTCATTGGTGCTTCCACTTTGGACATAAATGCAATGGCAAGACTTGGTGCTAGCAGTTGTCCCATTGTCAACCTTTCATTTGAGCGCAGTACTTTCCGGACCATCTGAAGATTTAGGAGAAATAATGTATGAAGGAGATAAATGAAATGTAATGAAGGAGAAATAGACATGTATGGCTTCAGGATAGAGCCCTTGATGGCACTCTTAAAAGATAAAACTCAAACCTCACTAAAGTTCAAAAACGTGGTATGCGAGAGGTACGAGAGCTGATAGGGTTGAAAAACATAAGACTATCCGTTAGTGATAAGGGTGGAGAGTTTATCGTAATTCTCCATCAGTTAGTTGTGGAGGTAACGGAAAAGCATCCTGAAGATGCTTCGCTTTATCGCCCATCATCTGAGAAGGAATTTAAAAGTAAATACCGAAAATTGAACCACGAATGGGTCAAAATAGCGAGAGCTGCTGGTTTAAAACCATCAGTTATCTCTCATTAAAAGTTGACATACCAACGTGTCCCGTCTTGTACTTTCTTACAAAAACTTATAAGTTAGTATCCAGCGATGATCTTGCGTCTACCGATCCATCATTGTTTAAGGTTAGACCTATCATCAGCTGCGCAATGGCTACGAAACTGTAGCTCGGGATAGGTGTAGGAGAAATCCTAGGCGCCCAAACGACAACTCTAGCAATAGAAAGGTCCCGTTTATCCTGCCCTTCATCTCAAATGACGTAAGTGCAGCTATAAAACGCTGCTTAAGTAGGGCGGGTCTAAACAATTCGGTAAGCGTAGTTGAAATGTCACCGAGTAATCTTAAGCGCCAGCTAGTTCGTAACCGCCTATACGACCGTCTATGTGCAACACAAAATTGCATAATTTGCCCCAATGGTAGAAACGTTGATTGTATGAGCTCGGGTATAGTTTATTTGATCTCCTGTAAGGCGTGCGGAGACGACTATATTGGCGAAACGGGCAGAGCCCTCTGTGTCCGCATAAAAGAACACTTAGTCGGTAAACGTCTACCAAATACCCCACTATGCACGCATAGAACCCAGAGACATAACGGGTAAGACTTTGAAGTACGTGTCACGATCCTCGCAGAAGAATCGAGAACACAAACGCGCAAAACTCCCGAAGAGTTCTGGATTAATTGCAGAAATCCGATAATAAAGGGGGGGGGGGGATGCGCTTCCATGTGAATTCTGTGCGGTTGGTATCCATGCGACACACTCAGTGGAAGCCTCATAGAAAGTGGTAAGTGTGCAAAGCTGTGTTCAATGTGATTGAAATCTTGGTTTAGCCTTTTCTCTGTTTGGTTATGGAGGTGTTTAACCGAACAGATTGCTGTCGACTTGACCTTTCCAGGCTCTGAGGAAGGCGAAATCCGCCGAAACGGCAGCTTGTTCGTGAATAAAGAATAAAAATAACACCCCGCGTTTGCTCAACAAGAATACGAAGAATTGCTTGATCAATGCTGAGGTTAATAGAAAGTCGGTCGTGGTAGTTACTGATTTTCTTTTCCGTTATGTGCGCGGATCTCTGCTGACTGCTAGAATTATCTGCTAGAAAGGTTAACTGCTAGAATTATCGAACAAAGTAGGTTCCTTAAAAAAAAGATTTTTAAAACTTTAAGGAATTAACGAATTGTCGTTTAAAATAACAATTCGTCGTTCTAAAGAAAAGTCCGTTTTAATTTCGGGAAAACTTCAACTGCCGTCAAACACTTTCGTTTAGATTTTGTTTTTCACAAGAAAATTCCCTAATCCAGGTCTTGATCTCGATCTTGGTTTTCATTCTACTTGAATATGTAGAGCAGTTGTTCTCTAAAGAATCGATGTCTCTATAGAGTTCGTTATTTCCTTAAATGAAGCTTATGAACATATTTCGCAGAATCGGCATTTAAACGCGTTTTAAAACGATGTTCGACAATGGGCTTATTTAAAAGAAACGTGCCTTATTGTATAGAATGTCATTTTAGTTACAAGTTTACTACTTGGCTGAAAAGTTCCATTTAGGAGCTAGTGTAGGAAGATTCAAATCATATTTTCCACGCGGTCTTCATGGATTTAATCACAAAAAAATCCCTTGTCAAATGTTTCTCGTATTATACACAGTTAGGAATAAAAGAGCAAAGGATTCGGTTTAATAAATCCCTGCAGAAAACGGGATGAATTCGATTGCATTAGTAGCAACATAGAGGAGATTAAATATATATTTGGCCTATACAATAGTGGAATGGTTTGCTCGGAAAGTTGGATCGAACCAAGGACTGCGTTTGTATTGCAGCACACCTCTAAGTACTGCGTTATATGCACCCCTACACAGAGATAGTAACAATTTTGTGCGGAACATTTTAAATGTAAGAAAATATTTTTATTTTTAAGCATTTTGAGAGAAAAATGTGTAAGGTGAACGTGAAAAAATGGGTGATATGTTGGCATAAAAATCGTCGCCTGTTCTTAGATCAATGACTGAACAATGACTAGATCTCCATTCAGCGGTTTATGGTATTAGATAGAGTAACAAACACTGTGTGGTATAAAAATATTTAAAAAACAAATAGGATGGTAAGGATATCACAAAAAGAAGAAAATAAACAAAAAATAGAAAAAGAAGTGAAACATGACAAAAAATGCACTCCGTCTCATTGGATTTCATAACTACGTTAGTGTTTAAGTAACCTACATTAATACCACAGTGATGAAAAAGGTAAGAAAAAGAAAGTAAAGTGCACAATAAGAGAGATGATAAGAAATAAAGGTTTAGGCAGTAAGCTGATGACGCTTTACATATATACACATATATATGTATATATGTATGTATATATAAATTCCAGTGTATATAAATATCTCCACGTGAATGCTGACACCAACTTTGTTAAGAAGCTCGGATAGAAGCCATCCAAATGGATCACTTCTCGAAAAAAAATATTCCTAACAATTGCGAGTAGTACTTGAACAATAGCTAAGCTGTCAAATCATCTTTGGTAGTATCTGTGAAACTTCCGAGCTCGTTTTCCACTTTTTCTAATCGCATGTTCTTGGATCTTCATAGTCTTCAAAGTCCGGATCAGAGTATTCTGTGAAACGATTTGGTACAGGACGATTTCTGAAATATAAATGGCTGAAGAAAACTTTTTTCAGTACTATTCGTACAATGTGCTTGAAAAATGGCTTGCAAATTGTGGGAACCATCTCCTAGATGTGATGGAATATTGGAATAATGCAGGAGTAACAGAGATCTCGAACAGCTAGTAATACCTCAGCAGTTGCTGAGTTACTGTATAACATTTATATTTTGTAAATTGAGATAAGGGTTCATCTCCGCTGGTACTAGATAACGAATAGCATAGGTGACGACGACATGCAAACTCCCATTATTCCATGCTAGATATTTCACATTCCTCTAAACAGAAGGCACAACATTGGAGGAACGTAAAGACAACAACATAATGTTGCTCATATATGTGAAATCAGAAATAAAACAAGAAGAGAAATCCTCTTAGGAGCTCAGGTAATGAAAAATTCGACATGGAATGAATTTTATGACACTAAGTTAGACTAAACCAAATCAACAATCAGCTTGTTATTTCGAATTCTAAACGGTATTCAAAGCACTCATTAACTTAACTATTGGGAAAAAACTGCTTTCACTTGTTACGAGGTTAAGCAACCATGTTTAACCGCTTGACGTTAGCAGGTTGGCTAAACGACGTAAAAGATAAAAAAGGATAAAGCTCTCGGCGTTGATCAATCCCCGAGGTATGTGTCTTGCATTCGACTTCATCACGCATCGTTGGAGGCGACTGAATGCATAGTTGGCCTTTACATTGATTCGTCCTGGCCTATCGATATATCGAACCAGTGCTACTATCTTTCCAGACAAATCTGATACCAATTTCCGAACCCAGGAGAGAAGGAAGGTTTGGTGAGCCAGGATCGATCTCATGTATATTACAGCGCGCTTCCGACCACTGCACCACACGTGTCCACATGCTGAACGACTTACAACATCTAATCAGTGACTAAAAAATATTGACGCTGACCTATTGATACTGTCAAGGCTCAGTGGGTTAGTGTCTCTCACTTGTTTCGCTAAACTTTCGAAACGTTGTTCCCAGAATTTGGGTGTACGCAGAGCGGCGCTCAAATACGATGTGCCATTCGTACGCCAATCTGCATCACCCTAAACATCTGCTCACTTTGAACATCTGTATCATGAGTGGAACATACTGTAGAAGCGAAAATTTTTCCAAGAACGAATCTATGTGCAGGAATTAACCGAAAATCATACCTTAGTGAACATATAACCTGACACTGGTGCCGAGCCCTTCGCCCTCACTTCGTCTACTAGCTTACTCTCCCACACTTGAGGACTAAACAAGACGAAAATAAGTATTGAACACATTTGACTAAAATCCCTAACAGCAAAACTACTACTTTGGATTTACTTTTTCGGTGACGTCTCATTATTGTTCTAGGGTGTGGGGTGCTGGACTGGGGATTTATGTTGTGATATGCAGATGAGCTCGTCACCTCAACAGTGTCATCAGACTTGAAGAAGACTTCTTTATTATTTCTAAAATGGAAACGCAATTACTAAGATCAAACCTATGACACAGCAAAAACTGTCAAGGTGCCCTTGATTAGCATCTCACCAGAAACATTTAGAAGCGTTCCCCATGTGAAAACTGTAGTGCTCTTTTTCCCCTTTAGGCAAGTCTAACTGAGCATCTCGTATGCATAATGGGGACAAATGAATTCACTGGTCAACTAGATTTTTTGCACCATCAATGACATCACAAATGATATAAATGATATCGGATAATCTCTCAATAGCAATAGTTCAAGCACGGATTAATCGGGGAGCTGTTGTCAATCAGTCATTGTTTATGAAAAGCAGTTTTTTTAAACAACCATTTATGTCAGATCCGTTTTAATAGTAACAGAATATTTAAGACCTGTAATCAAATAAAAAGCTGATAAACATACCCTCTAGGAGTATATTTCCCTTCCGGCCGTTTGAATAGATCTACAGAATGTTGCAAATCAAAATCAAAGTAGTCCGGATCATCACGATTTGGACGAGAATAGTACGGTTTAGGGCAGTATCTCTGGAAATGTTTCAAAGAAAAATGTACGAATTCCTCCTTTTTTCTATGTGTGTACCAAAAACAGCAATGATTTCTTACTTACAGAGAAGTCGTAATCGTCAAGTTCTGAAGCCGAGCCAGCAGCCGGAGCAGGAGCATTGCGAAATTCCTTAGTGGTTATTGTTTTCATGCGCTGTGGAAGTGGTGCAGTTTTCAGTAACCTGAAACTCTTAGCGTTAGTTTTAAGGACTGCTATTTAAAATCTATTCGGACAAACTATTAAAACTGAGTAACGTTCGAATATTAGTCGTCAATAGTAGATCAATCAACAGCTACATGTTACTCAGAGTTAAGCTCTTATTCGTGAATATTAGAAGGTGTCATCGCCCCTACATCGCTTCCACATTATTTGCTCGTTGTTCATAACGTGATTCAACGCCTTGTGATACCGAAACCGCTGGAGCTGCATAGGGACCCGATCCGCCTAAATAGTCAAGGATGGTTTTCCGGAGATGTGCAAGGTAAAATATAGAAGTTATGAAGTTAAGTAATACTCAGAGCGGTAAAGCAAACCAGCAAAAACATGTCCGACCGATGGTGACGATACAAGAAACGTTCTTTCGGCTAATGGCGAGGTCATCAGGCTGCTATGGGACCTTAGGAGCCAACTTATCAGTTAATAGACATTTGTCGAAACCGAGAGAAGGAGAGCAAGAAGATAAGAAAAGAAAACGAAATGGAGAGAAGAAAGATGATGTTAACCTAACACTTGGGATGAACCCAATATTGGTGTCCAGCTTTCTGAATGGGCTTACTGCTCGGCTCTTTCGTGTTCGAGTCAACGTTGACTCACGAAATTCTGCTTCGTCTCTACTTCTTTCTACAGATCGTTTTGCCTACAAAAGTTTTCCAAGTTAATAGAAATGTAAACACTTTGTAGACACGAAGTGCTATTTTATTTCCATTTCTTCTATCTTTCTTCTTCTTTCTATCCTTCTTTCTATCTTCTATTTTCTTTCCTTCTTTTTTTTCTCTTCCTATTTTTAAAGGCTACGAAACTGTAGCTCGAGATAGGTATAGAGAAAACCACAGGTACCCCAACGATAACTCTAGCGACAATAAGGTTCCGTTTGTACTGCCCTTCATTTCAAATGAAGTAAGTGCAGCTATAAAACGCTATTTAAGAAGGGCGGGTCTAGAAAATTCAGTAACGATAATCGAAATACCATCTAGTAATCTAAGATGCCAGCTAGTTCGTAGCCGCCTATACGACCGTCTATGTGCAAAGCAAAATTGCATAATTTGCCCCAATGGTAGAGACGGTGACTGCATGAGTTCGGGTACAGTCTACCTGATCTCATGTAAAGCGTGCGGGGACGAATACGTTGGCGAAACGGGTAGACCACCCTGCGTACGTATAAAAGAACACCTAGTCAGTAAACGTAAGCTAAGTACTCCACTAGGTACGCATAGCACGCAGAGACATAACGGAGAAGATTTTGAAGTAGGGGTTACGATCCTCGCGCAGGAATCGAGAACACAAACGCACAAAACTCTCGAGGCGTTCTGGATTAATCCCAGAAATCCGAAAATGAACCGCAGGAAAGAATGCCTCATTATCACGCGTGATATTCGGCAGTATATAAGTCTATTATTTTGACGAGATGGGCTCAATACGATTCCGTGTGAACCCTGTGCGGTTGGTCTCCACCCGACATACTCAGTGGAGGACCCATAGAAAGCGGTGTGTGTGTGCGGAGCTGTGTTAAATGTGATTGAAATCTTGGTTTAGCGTTTTCTCTGTTTGCTTATGGAGGTGTTTGGCCGAATAGATTGCTGTCAACTTGACCTTCCCAGGCTCTGAAGAAGGTGAAATCCGCCGAAACGTCAGCTTGCACGTAAATAAAGAAATAAAATAGCACCTCGTATTTGCTGAACAGAAGTAGAAAGCATTATTCAATCAGTTCCGAGGTTAACAGAAAGTCGGGATTGGGAGTCACCTTGTAGACATTTAATTTACTGTATCACAGAACTTAACAACGAGCCTTGTGGTAGGATTCCTTGACACTTTCTTGCCATGTCTTCCATGCTGGTTTCTTATCGTCACACAGATGTTCAAGCCTATCATCGAAGTCGACCCGCTTGAAACGTGGTGGTGTCATTAGAAATCTCGACGTACTGAAATTTATTATAACTTGCTCAAGCTACTTGGAGTATGGTTAATTTAGTCTTGTATTCCCACACTCTACAATATTCTGTAAAAACCGTCCACGAAAGACTTCTAAGACAGCTAAGTTTGGAAAATAAACTCAGAACAAGAAACACATTTTCGAACTGGAAATACAGGTTGGATAGGATTTTTTCATAATTCCACTTTAACAAGTTTCTTAAAATTTGTCTTTCATAAAGCACTCATGCTGTTGAGTAGTTATTTATCACACACATACTCCTTAATACTATTACTTCGTAACTACTAAATCTCAACACAAATAAGGAAAAAAGGAATAAAAAAACATGAATGGCAGGTCAACTTGTTCAAGAAAGTAAAATAGTCACAAAAGTATAAAAGTAGAACCAAGTATACCTTTTCATATGATACACTTAGTATTAACAGCATTTTCTACCGAAAATCGTAATGGCTCTAGCGATTCCTTTTTTTTCCATGGTGCAATTTGTCATTCACCTATGGAGAAATAACAGACTTCTTCTTTAGGTTGTTCGTACCGTATCTATTTAGTCTGCACGTCTAATAATTCCCATTAGTCAAAGAACATTATAGAAATCAATGACTGAATATTTTTCACGTTATAGCACGTGATAATAAAAGGATAAAGCAGCGGCGTAGAAGGTGGGTCTTTTGTCGCATTAAGACAATTTTCTGTCTTAATGACAACACGTCTCTTAAAACTCGGAAATGTTTTACTAAAACATCTCTTAATAACTCAAAAGACCGACTTTCTATAAACCTCGACATAGATAGTTGACATATTTATTTGTGTGATCTTATAAATGATCTTCTCAAGCTGACGCGAGGGTGGTACAGATCTTCGTTGTCGTTGTCGTTGTTGCTGATGTTGTTGGTCGACGGCTGACGTTTCGGCGATTTCGCCTTCCTCAGAGTCGTGATGTTACGAGTGGGACTGTCCCAGCATCGTTTAGAGGAGATTGAATGCATACGTGGCCTTTATAATGACTCGCGGTCGCCTACCGATGTATCGAGCCAGTGTTGTTATCCACCCAGACCAGTCTGGTACTAATTTACCGACCCCGGAGGGATGGAAGGCTTGGTGGGCCATGGGCGCGGGGATCGATTCCACGTGGGTGTTGCAGGGCGCCTCTGACCACTGAGCTATATGCAGCACGCGGTAGCAATGGGTGAATGGGTGAAAACGAAGCAGCACGATTTCTAATCATTCCTAGGAAAATAAATTATTCAAGTATTAAAGTAAAGAAGACGGAAATGGTGATGAGCCGTTTTCACGCGACACAATTGCCGTTTTGTGTTTGTCATGACCTATTTCACGAAAAATTATGGTTGTCGTTAAGAAAGAAAAGAGAGAAAGAGAAAAAGAAAAAGAAAGAAGGAAAATGTCAACGTATACGTTTTTACAGTCTTCCCTGTTCTATCATTGAAAATTTCTTCCATTTTAACGTTGTAAACGTTTCATGAACATTTGCACTTAAAAACCTTTTCATTATTTAGTCATAAATTAATCCTGAAAAAAGTTTACGTTCACATCCCAATGTTCACATCTATCAAGAAAATAATCTTCCATCCAGTGTCATCGTTGGGTAAGATAGCGTTCGTTGTGAACATCTGTGATCATGAACAAAACACCATCACATCTGTGAAATGAAATGAAGGATGAAGACAACACAACGAGAAAACGAGAAAGAATGGCACAGACATTCATAATGAAGAAAGAAAAACCTTCGCCTTGTTCTATATCCCTTGGAAACGTCGTAATATTGTAAAGCTCCTACAGATTCGAGAAGCGAGAATGTCTAAGAGACGATAGTTCACTGTTTTTCTCCATAAGCAAGCACGAAATTGTTATTAAAGCATTTATTAGTAGAAAGCAGTCGACGTTTCGGTGGTTTTTCAGAGCTTGGAAGGGTCTAAATGACGCGCGATCTACTCAGTCAAACACTTTCCAAACTTCAGCAGGCAAAACTTAACACATAACTTCCCATTTGCATTATAAAAAGCTTCTCTTAAGAGTAAAGAAGACCAAAAGAGAAGTTTGGTCAAGATTTCAAAATAACACAAATGTCGGATGGTGAAGAACAAGAAGGATAATGCATTCGGCGTCGATGAATCAAATCATTATAGGTGAGCGAGTGCATATGTGAGCAGGCCAATACAAAGACTTGTGGTTCCATACCGTTGTAAACATGAAATTAGTGGTGGTATCCTTCCAGACAAGTTTGGGAACAATTTGCCCAACCCGGACGGATGGAAGGCTTAAAAGCCTATGAGATCGCAAGGTACCTCTAATCACTGAGGTACACGTACCCAAATGTTACTTAATCCTTTTAGTATAAAAGTCAGTACGAATAACGATAGTGACAATGATAGTGGTTAAGATTTCTCGTATATCGAGTTCGCTGTTATGCACTATAACAGCTATTTTTTGCAAATGTAGGGTCATTTTAATAAACGACGTTCTCTCCTCCATTGACAGACCAAACAAGAATGTACCACTGCCAGAGATCGTTGGTGTTCTGGTTGAAATAAACTTGCTAGATGGTTTACCATCCTGCGCTGAACTAGGGTGGGCGAATGTCTGTGGTAATGACCAGAGAACAACCTGGCACTACTGTCTAGGACCTCCAAGAAAGGGATCTAACACATTTGCGATATAACCTTTGAAAGGAAAATACAATAGGATCTACAAGTACCTTGGTCAAGCAGGCCAATCAGTATCACCAAATCCATCTTTTTTCGTAGATGGTACTATCAGCTCGTTATGGAGAATATAAATGTATTATAAATGTTTATCCGACCAAAAAAGATTTACGATCATAAGAATAGACTTTGATTTGGACTTCAGCGACTGCTGATGTAGAAGAAAATAGAGGAATGCAAGTCTTTTATGAAGTCTCCGGTCAAAATAAGACACAACAAGCACATTTTCTACTCCAAACCACGAATTGATTGACAACTGACAGGGGAAATTAAGAACTCTGAACATCTAAAAAACACCTCCTTCTACAGCCTTCTATTCGAATAAGCTTTTCTTGGTTAAAATGAAAATCGAAAATATTTTATTTAAATATAATAGTAAACCTGTAGTCTGACGACAATCCAACTATTGGGCTCAGAGGTCTTCTACCTGGGCTTAAGGCTTCTGACGACACCGTTGGTGGGACCGATGACTTCATACCGAGCAGATGCATTGATTCTTCGATTAGTGTTGATGATGGCTTTGACAGTCCTCCCTAAAAGGTATTTTTATTGAACTTTCGTTAATGCATAGATCTAATGCATCGTCGAGGAAGAAGAAGATGAAATAGAGAAGAATGACGTCATTTACAATTGAAGTGTGCACTTATTTTACATTTCGCAATTTAAAAAACTGTTTTTCAAAGTAGAAGCATAGTTGGGCAGAGGACGTTTTCTCCAAAAGGATTAATGCCTAGAAAATAAGAAGTTGCTTCCTTCAAAGAATCATTCATTATTCATGGGCTAGAATATGCTTCATGATCAAGGAATTTACATAATATCATACGATGCTCTAAATGATACTACCTGCGAGGGTGAGGAGATAGAATTGGTAATGCTTTGACGGAGTTTTGTTTGGTCAATCTGGTCCTCGTTCTCTTCCTCGGCATCGGCCATCGTGTGAATTACCTATGATTTCAATAGTAGCAAATCATTGTTTACATTCATTTCATATAGAGCCTATCGCTATTAACAATGAAGCTATCCATAGATCTTCTTTTATAGAAATCGTAAAAAAAAATATAGGCTCTCTGTAAATAAATATCCATTTTGTAGATAATTACAAGCACCACTGTAAAGCACAGATTTAACCGTAAAATAACGAGAAGGAATGGAAAACTAAGCAAGCTCGAGTAACTTTTTCACGAATTGGAACTTAAACGAAAAGCGTCGAGAAGATTTCACCAGAGTGCATAATGATAGGGAACGTTTAATGAACATGCGATCACGCACTGGCTTTAAAACTTTTGTGATAAAGGTAAGAATCTTGAAGATGAGAAGAGTGATGAAAAATCTGCTATCGGAGACGATCACCGAGAGATCAAAGCAAATGAATATTTAGGTAGAAAAAAACTGGAAAATTTGCTGCAGAACTGGGCCTAAGTAAAACGGTAGTTTCTGGATGCCTAAATGCAGCTGAAAGGTGCAAAAGCCGTTTGAGTGAGGGTAGACTAAAATGAAGGAAAATCGCCGTTATAAAATCAGCTCTATTTGTGGACAAGAATTATCTGTTTCCTGAATGTACTACGATGTGTGATAAAAAACGAATTGTGTACGACGAGTGATGCCGTTCAACGCAATGGTTCTCTTTCCCTTCTACGCCTTCTAAAATAAAGATTAAGTAAAGAAAAAGCTAACGAAGTGAGACATGTTTCAAAAGAAGACTATGCTACTGCTCAATTCTGAGCAGATGGAATCACACACTATAAATTTGTCAACATTGGCTGAGTCATCAGTAAAGTCTTGCCAGATAATCGATAAAAATGCTAAGGCTTGCCACGTCGGCAAATAGGATTCGCTGCCAGCGGAAACGCCTCGCAGGCTTTGAAAAGATTGGGAGGCAAAACGTCCACCATACTTGCTGTACCTCTCTCTGCTGAATTTCCCTCCTTCAAGCATGTCGAAAACTACATGCTGAGAGAGGCTTCAACAACTGTACCACTGTTCAAAAACCTTCAGAAAATTCGTAAGATGAAAAACTCCTGAATTTAACAGTCGTGAGATAAATACAAGCAGTCGACGTTTTCGATGAAAGGGTACAGATTATAGCGGTGCCTGTTTCAATGAATCAAGTTCTCTGTGATCTATGCACATTCGAGGTCAAAGGAAAAACCTATATTATTTTTTTAGATAAGTTACAAATTAGAGAAATTGCAATAATATGGAATATTAGTGAATGTGAAAGATCAACATCCAAAAGTTGAACATGAGAGGAACAAAAACGCCGATGTATTTGTGGAATAATGAAGAGATCGCAATGAATTACGACCGTTTACAGAGTGATAGAACATAAAAGCTCAGCGTTTACAGAGTGATAGAGCATAAAAGCACAGTCTTCTTGGATTTTGTAGAGAAAAGCCCGAATTTTTGAGGTGTAAGGAACTCGACTTCTGCCGAAACAAGAAACAGTATCGCAAAAAAGAAAAAGGCGATGAAAACAAATAGAAAAAAAAGAGCTAGGATAATCGCTGAACAAGCTCAAAAATGTGCGAAACAATAACAAACGAAGCTCTAGCTGATCAATTTGTTCATATGAACGTCAGTGACAAATTTGTTCTAGTGTTTGTGCGCATATTCTTTCCTGATTATGCCGACAACTTGCTAACTTGGGTCAATAAAATGATGATTACATAATGTGATATGATATGTACAATAGTGTAGGAATGAGATAGTGTTTGAGTGAATGGAAAACGTACGAGCCGTGTGTGGGGGTGTGTTGTGTGACGGACGCTCTTTCGCTCGAGCACTGTGTAAAAGCCGTGATGAGGGTTCGGAATTCTATCGGAGGGGGAAAACAGAAGATCCAAGCAACGTCTGGACAGGTTTATCGAGAGCTCTCTGACTCTGGCGGGCGGGCGATCCATCTCAATTCCAATGTCGTCAACTCATCATTAGTTTTTCGATATCATATTAAATCATCAGGAAAATTTACACATTACACAAAAACGAACATTGTTCGGAGAATATTGTGGTTATGAACTACTTACTCGTTCGTATGCCAAGTTCTACACCAGTGAATTAGCCACTAGTACGCTTTTTTCTACAACTGCGGAATATTTCAGTTATTAACATGAGGAAGATTACATTAGAAGACACCTTAACGTTATTGAAAATGTATTCATAATCAATCTTAATTCTCTTGAATATTATACCAGGTTC